TCAGTGAATTCTGACTGTGTCACCCTGTATCTATTTATATATTTCTTTATTAATATCTTAATATATTATTATATCTTATGTTAACCATTTGCACACACAAGCATTATCCGGCTCCACTCCTCCCAACCACAGACGCAGGTTTACAAGCCACTTTTTCCTGTGTTTTTCAGTCAATTTCTTGACTTTTCCCCACTTATAAACAACACATTTTCGTACACGATAAAAGCTCCTTGTGGTTTCTCGGTTTGGCCGATTTGAGCATCCATAAACAACACAAAACACAGGCATTTTGAGTTTCTGCTAGTAATTTCTATGTTGAAAAATCACTTCCTGCCCTCCAGCTGCATTTCGTGCGTCATCAGAATCACGTGATTGCAAACAACCTATTGCAGCGCTTCTAATCGAATTAAACTTAATCTTTAAGGTCGTAGGCCATGGTGGTCAATGCAAATGTTTGATGGCGTCACACGACACAGGTACAAGCCATGGGTACACGCTGCCTGAGGATGCCAAAACAATATGGCTTTGCCTTTGGGATTTAGAAAATGGGATTTACTGGGAACGATCGATCGATTGATCTATCGATCATCTGTACATATGCTCAATCTATGAATCTTCTTAGATGGAGAGTCAGCAGCAGAGAGAGAGAGAGAGAGAGAGACATCCTTACTAAAATAGTTAGTCTTGGCGCATATAGCCTATGACTTTTAAATAAATAGAAAGTAATATCTTATTTTCTTGTTAAATGTTCAATCCAGCTGTCTAAAATATTAACTAACAAATAGTAAAATTTAAATAAATTTAAATTAAGGTTAGGATTGCAATGTGGGGTTTGATCTGATCATTTGTTAAAAAAAGTATAATCTGAATTAGAATGATGTGGGTTTGGAAATCACATGTTTTGCTATCTAGGATCAGGTAAAGTATTTTACAATAGTGCTATTTTTTTTTTCAAAGGAACTTTGAATTGGATTGAATTACCCAAATTCACATACAATTATTTCCACATTACCCAAATCCAGACTACCAGTGCTCTAAAAGGGACTAATACATCACAATGTGGACAACAACTGTATAAATAAAAACAGGCAACAAATAGCCATACAATATGGGATGCAAATGTTAGAAACTATTTTTAACATTGTAGCCTAATTAATATACAATGATAAATGACATTTAAATTTAATGTATTATTCTTGTTTGATATTGACAGCTGTTTGGGGTATACACCAAAGTGTAAATGAGATGCAAATTTTGTATTATTTGACCAATTTTAACGTTTTATTACATTTGGTTTCTGAAATCAACCCTGTATACACCGTTCTGTTAGGACCAGGATAATCCTGAATATTTATTTATTTATTTATTTTATTTATTTATTTTTTGGATCAAAGGTATCCTAATCTTACAAAGTTAGAACAACACGTAATGAATGTTTAATCCAGATCAAAACAAATGACTGGATTACTTGATGTAATCCAATTTCCGTTCTTTCCGTTTTTGACTTGGATCATCAGCACAAGTCAGCATAATAGAGAGGGGAAATGACTTCACATTCTCTTCCATGGTCCATTCTTAATGTGCCAATTTCTTAAGATGTATGGCCCAAGTGATGGCCTTCTAGCACAATGACCCCTCTGTCACAGCTGTGTAGCATTAAAAATGGGATATATATAATTTCTGCTAATTCTGCTCTTCTCGAGGGGGAAAAAAACTGCTAAGAGCTTTCCTCCACATGTTGAATGATTGTGTGTCTGCGTCTCTTTCAACTTTTATTTGGCAAAGGTTGAAAGCACTTCAGCATAAATCCAAGTGTGAGTCAAATATCTCACATTACAGCATAATTAATTCAGAAAGGACATATGAAAGAAGATTAGGGGGAAAAAACTATTTTACAATTTTTAAATGTTATGTGTTTTTGTATCTTTTTAAAATAATATCTTCTCCTTTATTTCACCCTTGTACGTAACAGTGCGCTTGGTTTTTCTGAAGAGCCAAAAGCTTAACAACTCTGGTGGGACAAATGAAGAAATATCTGGTGAAAAAGGAAATAAATATGTAAGGGACATTAAATTAGGGTTCATATGGTGACACTCTTTTACTCATGACAAAATATGTTTATCCACCCCTTTCTTTTTATGAGTTTTCTATTTTGTTTTCTGTTTGCTTTGAACTGTATCTGAAAACCTCACCAAAAAAAGTACACCCAACAAACATCCCAACAAATGATAGTCAGCACAGGAATGGACATCAGCCCTCTTACAGGAATTGCTTTTTACATGCGCTTTTCTTCAGCACTGCATACAAAGCTAGTACTTGTCAGTGCTAAGACATGCAAGTGGTGTGAACATGTACCACATGTCTGTAAGCTTGACTGTGGGCTGTATCCATGACCTTATTACTTAATGGATTAAAGAAAGCGGATGGTTATGGTCTAGACAGTAGGCACACAATATATGATTATATAACCCCAATTGCTTGCCGAGTCATTAAGCCGTTCCTTCAAAGAGATTCAAAAAAACAATTAAATGAATTAACTGAACTTTAGTGAAAGTTTGGTACTTTTCCCATTATAACATGAGAGTCTAAAGCCAAGCAGTTGTATCTTCCAGAATACATGAATGCCCTTCTCTGCTGTTGACTTCACTCAAACATAATTATACTTCCTTAAGATAAGCATTACTATTGACATGTTTTTGGTGGTTTGAACGTTCTTTCAAAAAAGTATCTTAAAGGGGTCATATGATGCTATTTAAATTTTTCCTTTCTCTTTGGAGTGTTACAAGCTCTTGGTGCATAAAGAAGATCTGTAAAGTTGCAAAGACTAAAGTTTCAAATCCAAAGAGATTTTCTTTATAAAAAGTAAGAGTCAACTATGCCTACCTAAAACGGCTCATTCTAACATGCCCCACATATCTACGTCACGATGTGGGAAGATTTGCATAACACCGCACAAATGTTTGCGCAAAGAAAGAAGGCATAACATTGATTCTCGCTGTAGTATTGTTGTTGCCGCCGCCGCCATGTCGTGAAGGCGCTTTGTGTTTCATCGTGAAAGCGAAACTACTTTGTTTGGCCTTCCAAAAGAGGATGATATCCGCTTCGTTATGCCTGGAGCTGATCTGTGCTGGTCGCTGAGGAAATACATCAACTTTGCGCTGTGGATCGCTGGATCGGCTTTCACCGTGGACGAAGTGGAGTCCAGCCCGGGGTCGTCACATGTGATTGCCGCAAGGCCGCCGGATGCTCCTTCGTTGAAATCCGCCGGCCGCGCCATTCTCAAGCCCACTGGCCTCCGCTCACTCTAGCCCGCCGTGTGTGATGCTGTGTGAAAGTGAAACTACTTTGTTTGGCCTTCCAAAAGAGGACACAACTAGAAATCAGTGGTTAAGTTGTGTTTACAACACTGTTCCAGAACAGTTCAACCCAAATATTCACATTTTATGGAGGACTGTTTCCTGATCCTGGTGTAGTAGACTACAATGCCGGCTGTTCTGACTCACAGACTGTAAGTGTTTTCATATTTAAAAAATTTGCCACTGACGATTCAAACGCGAGTTTTGAGCAGTGTAGAGTAGCGCTCGTTGTTTGTCATTTCTCCGATCACAAATGCAGACATGGTTTTATGTTTACACGGCACGATGCAACGCAACGTGTAAAAAGACAGTATAAATCATTATAATCCGCAAGTATGTCCCCACTGGATGCAACAAATGCCTCGTTTATAATGGGTTTTAATGTATTTGTCTCATCACTGCGGCCGGACAGGGCATCACAGTATGGTAAGGGGCGTAACATTTCGGTCACACGCTTGAGGTATTCGGCCAATCACAACGCACTGGTTAGCTGGCCAATCAAAGCACACCTCGTTTTTCAGACCGATGAGCTTTGAAAAAATCGACGCGTTTCAGAAAGGCGGGGCATAGAGGAAGAACACTAATGTACAGTATGTGGAAAATAATGTTTTTTTTTAACCTTAAACGGCATAAACACATTTCATTACACCAAATACACAGCATAATGTTCTTTTTAACAACATCATATGACCCCTTTAAAGTAACCTAATTAAAGAAATTATTTTCATGGAAAGTTATCCACTGAAAATTATTTCAGATTTATTTCAGATGGGTTCACATTAGGCTAAGTGCCATGGAACTGTTCCTGAGATTCCAGATTCCAGTCAAGTGATAAATCACAGATGAACAGACTACAGAAGACCTATAGTAAGCAAAAACCAGCAAACCACTTAAGTTTTACCAGATCCACAAAATGAGTAAGCAATAGTTCAGATGAGGCTAATTATAGTCAGACAGAACCATCAAGGATTTTCAGTGATCAGTTTTTTTCGATGAGATGTTGGAAAATAATTTTTAGATTGCCATTTAGGAACATATACTGGCAGTTAATGCCATGTAAATGTGATCAAGAGTGTCTCACCCTAGTCTATTCTCTTCTTTCTTTCGCAGGTGGAAATCTCTCTGGATCACCTGCCAGACATGCTTGGCTTCGTCATCTGTCAGCCTGGAGAGATCCAAATTCTTCCCATTACTGCTGTTGGGCATCATCTTAAATCTCATCCGGTAGAATGAGGAAGCCTGTGAACCAAATCACAGTGTCACTTTCTTAACAAACATGTAGCGTTGTTTTAAGAGACAGAAAAATTAATCATTCTGCCTCATTTATTGTAAGCTGGCACCCGGCTAATCTTAAGTATTTTACTCCTCACAGGTCTAACAATTTATTAAAACACATTTTCTGGAGAATAAATAGCCACTTCAAAGGTTTAATATAAAACAACATTTGGGATTGAACTTATTTGTAAACAAAATGGTAATGTAGCATTTTCCATTCTGTCATAAGACTGGCATCCATTCATACTTAGGCTGAATCTAGTTACAGTGGGTATAGAAAAGAATCACCCCCCTTTAAAATAATCACATTTTGTTGCTTTGCAGCCTGAAATGAAGACGGACACAGTTTTTGTTTTATCCAGCTGCATTTACCCAGTGCAACTTATAACATCGAAGTGAAAGATAGAACTTCAACATGTCAGAAAGAAAAAAAAAAAAAAAAAAAAACTGAGTTGGAAAAAGGATCACCCCCTTGTGTCTGTACATTTTGTTGAACGACCTTTTGCTTTAATTTACAGCCTTTAGTCTGTTGGGATATGTCTCTGTCTCTACTAACTTTGCACATCTAGTCTTTGCAATATTCGCCCACTCTTCTTTGCAGAACTTTTCAAGTTCAGTTAAATTTGATGGTGAGCGTTTGTGGACTGCTGTCTTCAAGTCATTCCACAGACTTTCAGTGGGGTTTAAGTCTGGGCTCTGGAGGCCATCAAGGACTTTAACCTTTTACTCCTTCAACCACTGTGCTCAGTTTTGCTGTGTGCTTTGGGTCATTGTCATGTTGGAAGATAAAACTTCATCCCATTGACAACTTTCTGGCAGAGGGCAGCAGATTTTCCTCAAGCATTTGACGGTATTTCAAATACCCATCCATTTTTCCATCTATCCCGACAAGTGCTCCTGTACCTGCTGCAGAAATACACCATATAACAGCATATCACCACCTCCATGCTTTACTGGAGGAATGTTGTTATTTGGATGGTGAGCTGTATTGGATTTGCGCCAGTCATATCGTTTGGTGTAGAGGTCAAATAATTCAATTTTAGGCTGATGATACTGGGCAACTTTTTGAGCAATTTTGCTGGGCAACTTTTTTTTTAGCAATGTTGCTTGGGCACTTTTACATTGAGAATGGATAACAAATGTCTATCTGGATACTTTAGATCGGTCGCGGGCCCTGTGTCTCATCTGGTTGCCCGTTGTCGGCAACATTGCCCGAAGTTGCCCGGCAAAATTGCTCAAAAAGTTGCCCCGTATATCATTAGCCTAATATGCAAATTGTGGGTGCCTGGTCAAAAAGTGTCAGCCACTGTCTATTTGCAGATAAAGGGATGTTTTTTTTTCCAAAAAGCCAATTAGAATCAGTAATTTAATTTGTCTTTTAAACACTTGAATAGGCATGTAAATGTGACTACACTCTTAAAAATAAAAGGTGCTTCACGATGCCATAGAAGAACCTTTTTGTCTAAATGGTTCCATAAAGAACCTTTAACATCTGAAGAACCTTTCTGTTTCACAAAAGGTTCTTTGTGGCGAAAGAAGGTTCTTCAGATTATAAAAAGGTAAGAAAGAGATGGTCTTTAAAGAACCTTTGACTAAATGGTTCTTTGTGGAACCAAAAAGGGTTCTTCTATGGCATCGCTTGAAGAACCTTTTGAAGCACCTTTATTTTTAAGAGTGTAGCTGTTGATAAGCTGCTAAAATAATTTGTAAGCTCTTATTTAAATTCCTTTGGTCAAATCCCATGACATCATTATCTGAAAGTTGTGTCTATCTTCCCTTCATAATGCCGAATTATAAAGACACAGTTATAAAATGTTTATTCAAAGATTTACTATTTCCTTCTCAACTACAAAAGGGCAACTAATCAACGGTGCGCTAACAAGTTATACTGTTTTCAAGTTTCTTCCTTTACATTTGAAATGAGTGAAATTACTTCAAAGACTTTTTATAGGGAAATTATTTTAAAAAGTTTATATGAATGAATAAGAATTTTATATGAATGCTGAAAATGAATTTTGTAGCATAGTAAAAAGTAAAATTTGTATTTATTTACTTATTGGAATTGGTTTGTATCTGCCATTCCACTCAACATCTGTGCTTAATCTTGTATATTCTACCGCTGGCCCTTAAGGTCTTTATGTAACGGAAAACTGGCAGATTGTTAAGCAATAAAAAGTAATGCTGCAGCCCTCTGGCATGTTATTTCATTCATAAATAACTCAAGAAGACTAAAAAGACTAGCTGTTGCGCAGCTATGGCAAGCTTTTCTTCAAGTAAGTGCATTTAGAGATTTTTTTTGCGAAATAATTGACATTATACAAATGACAAAAAAAGTAATCATTTTACACATAGGACCTCTTCTTAGGTTTAGCCATTATATAGCCTAATAACTAGTATCTTGTAAAAATGTTTACCTGGTCTTGATTCAGCAGCCTGTGGTAGTCCAGTGGGATTTCAGCTGACCATTTTCAGGCAGAAAATCAAGCTGCTGTGTTTATCACATGTCCAGTTAACTGTGGGGTTGGGAAGGGCCACTGAAATATTTAAACCCCACCTCAAATTTCTCGTTGAAACAACATCTGATTTAATCTTGTAAAATAGCTGCAGCAAAAGCTGTACAATACATTAAAGCATTTGAATAGCATACATAAAACCCCTTAATTGTCACCGTCCCACCTGTGGGACGTTTGGCTCTCTTTTTTGTTGTTGTCTTTTTTCTCTATCAAATCTTTTAGTAATCATCATAAATCATATATCTATTTGAAAGCTTAGAAGCCCAAGATTCATCCTGTGAAAACCATTTCAAAATCAGACATTGCGTTACCATGGAAATGGTACTTTAAAATATTTTGGTGGTCTCCTCCCCCTTAGTGGGCAGTGTCAAGTGTCATATTACAAAATTAATTATGGTCTTTTAAAATCAAAACATTTTATAATCTTGACAAAAAACATATCATTGGAAAGGTCTGAGTCTCAGGATTATTTTGAGATAGAAGTAATATTGACAGAGAAATCTAGACATTTGTGACAGAAAAATGCATTTTAAAAAATTCAATGGAGTTTGGATGGCACCCAGGGCTGTTTGTGGTATAATGCCCTAAATAAAATCTCACAGGAACCTCAAATTTTTTCATATCAACTTCAAATTTGGAACATAACTTATTTAGACATAAGGCTATAATTGTATACGAATTTTTGAGTAAAACCTGATATGTAAAATATTTATTATATATAAAATAAAATAAAATTAATATAGTGCATTTTCTTTACAGTAAATTTAAACTACTATAACTTTTTGATACTTACATTTCACTTTAAATTCCACTTTTGCGATAATTTGCTGATTTTCTTCTTTAAAAAGAGACCAACCTTATGTCTGTATTCCAAAGTGTTCATAAATTACAACAATTTAAGTTTGGATAGTGCACCTGCATACCTATTTTAAAAAATGGGGGGTGACAGTTAAAGGGTTAAAGTATCTATATTTGCATCACATAAGCTTTCTCCAATAACAACATAACCACTATAGGTTATCTGCCTGCATTGCACTGGTTAGCACTAAGGATGTAGTGCATCATTCTTCTTTTCTTTTGAATTCCAGGTAGTGAAGTGTGTTTAGTTTATTTTGAGTTATGATTAAAACAGTGATTAGGATTTCATTTCACTGATACTCCTCTCCTTTGTGTGTGTGTTTTTTTAAACCTTATAGCATAACGTAGTGTTGCTTTTGCTTTGAGTCTGTCATGTAACTGGGATTTGACCAAACATCTTAGTCTATTTGTCCATGCTATTTATAGTCTGCTCAATGTGTGAACAGAGAAGATTTGCAAAATTCCATATAGTTATTCAATTTAGAGGTTAAAATTCTTTGGTTCACACATTTTAATTGATTTTCTACAGAATAAGTGTTTACACTGTTGCTGTTCAAAGCAAGTTATTGCATTTGCCTGACCAATAAGGGAAAGGCACCTACCACATGACTTTATTTCATCCGAAAAAAATATATTCATTCTAGGCTGGTGACTCTGATTAAGTTTGTCCAAGTTAGATTCTTTTGCAATGCATGTAAAATGTTTCAACCATTTGCGTTTTCTTAATACAGGGGCATCTATTCATGACTGTGCGAAAATGACAAATCCCAAGCTTGGTTTGTTCTCCTATTGTGAGAATAAAACTTAAATATAGTGGAAGTGCAGACTTTTATCTTAACAAGATTGAGTTTGATTGATAACGTAATCTGACATTTGTGGTGAATGCACTGTTAAATCATACCATTTATTTGTACCAGGTATAGTAAATGCAAATAAACATGTAAGAAAACCCTCGTACAGTACATGTTTTGCTAAGAAGCCCAAATAAAATATAAAATGAACTGTCAACAGAAAGAGGTAGTTAGCAAAAACAGCCCCATCTGCCGTCAAGAAAAGAAATAACATCTTTAATTGGTTCTGAAATGTGCTGCAGTGGTTCTTATTCATGGTGGTCGCCGTGATTTTGCCAAGATATGTTCCTGGATCAACATCTTTTGTTGAGGGGTAAAATTATAGTCTGTTCAATGGGTTGCATTGTCTTATAAGGTCCTAAGGCTGCATCTAATTTTCACAGCCCATAATTTCCGAAGTTGTGTGCCCTCTGAAATTTTTTTGAAGATGTGTGACCCATTGAAGCCAATGTTTGTCTATCCCTCACAGCGTTGTTTGTGTTATATTAAATATTTTAATTAAATATGGCATTCTACTATCAATCTATTCTATCCATTCAACTATCTACTCTAAGTTCTAAGGCCTCTATTCTACTTTTTTTTTAAATCGACATTACATCACATGTGTTAATTTCGTCAGACGAAAAATATATTCATTAACGAAAAAATTCTCTGTGACTAAGACAAGACGTTGACGAGTTAAAACTAATAGCTGATGATAAAAACTATGACAAAATGTATGCCGCGTCTTCACTAACAAGACGAGACGGGACTATAATGTTATTTGAGGACTACCGGACATTCAAAATACATCCTATAAGCTACTTGTCTTGTCCTTCAAAATGAGCGTCCCTGTCATTGGATTGCAATCGGATAAGGGGCGTTTGCATATCTAGTCTCAGTATGGCAGCCGCTGTGGATGGATAGGCTACCAAAATGCGAACTAGCGATCTGAAACAAGGGAGTAGGGATAAGGTGACCAGATGTCACGGTTTTTCCCGGGAGTCACAATTCGTTGTCGATTAAATTTAGGGATGCACCGATACCACACATGTGTTAAGTGCCATATTCAGACAAAGAAACATTGACAACAGAACAACAGACAGCATAATGGAGTTATTAGATTTTAAGAATGTCTACGAGTATCTGATTTTGACCTGGAAGTTATACGTTTGCACAAGTTGGTGTGTAGTTTTGAGATTGTGTTTATAGTTTTAAGAAAATGATGAATTGCTTCATGAATTGTGTGTTAGCAATCGAGAAAAACCTGTAATATCCTAATGATTTTTTGGCATAAAAGAAAAATCAACAACTTTCAACTATACAACGTATTGTTGGCTATTGATACTAGGGATGCAACAATACCGATGGGCCCGATACTGAGCTCTTGTACTTGTACTCGTTAAAATGCCCCGATACCAAACGCCGATACCACACAGCATGTGATAAGTGCCATATTCAGACAAAGAAATCCCAACAACAGAGAGCAGAATGGAGTTATTAGATTTTAAGAATGTCTACGAAGTATATGTATGCAATGAATATAATGTTAAACATTCAGTATTAGCCTGTATAGCTGGTGTGCGCGAGCTGATAAACAAAGCACGCTGAGTGGATTGAGCGTGCGGTAGCGCAGATGTCGAATGAATATATCTTTCTCACAGACATCACTGAAAAGTTTGTAGTTCGGTTGGATACGTCAAAAACAAGTAAATAAAACAATGCACAAGTTACCTAATGGTAGGGAGAGAGAGAGAGCGCGCGCGCACACACTTCTGTTGTGTGATCTTTGATGTTCACTCACTTAGCACACGCATCATTTGGATTAAAACTAAATCGTAAAAATAAGACCATTTATAGGAGCATTCACTACAAACAATTTATTTTTAACCTTAGGCATACACGACTTTCTGGCGAAAGTGAATCTAGCAGCCTGTGTGAAATGCGCTATAGGCTGTAGGCTACTATTCTGCATCAGTACGAATACATGCACGCGTTGCGCGTGTTTTGTTTCATGCGTGTTTCTGCATTATATGAGTGGCTTTGGAATATAAATCGCAACACGTTTCAGATGAAAAAACGCGACTTCTATTTCTGAAAATATCACAGTTAGGAGATTTATAACGAGTGGTTCCCTGCATTATTACAGCAAAGCGCGTGATTACAGTACTAAGCCGCTGCAATGGAGCAGCTCTAATGCTATTAAATTAAAGATGATGTACCATAGAGCAAAAAAAGTGGACGTAACAAAAACTTGTAAAATACATTTTAATGGGCATAATTAAGTGTGAAAATAACCAAAGGATATACAGTCAAACCAAAAATTATTCAGAGACCAGATATAATTTTTGATATTTTTTTTACTAGTGGGTGCAGGACACTAGTTCATTTATGTAAGTGAGGATAGCAAAATAAAGTAAACTGTGATATATTATACCCAAAATTTCTTCATACAGTGGACAACCAGTAAAACTGATACAAATTATTCAGACCGAGTCTGGGGGAAAAACAATTGAAGTTCAGGTTTGCATGAACTTCACAGTTTAACTCTGAGTTCTTGTTATATTTTATTACCATTTTCTAATGGAGCGAAATCAGACATGCTCGTTTTTTCAGATGCTTGCAGAAAAAGGCTTTCCAAAACAAAGTTACTGGGTGTCAGCATCCTACCTCCTGTAGTTTGTCTCCATGCCTCTAGAGGTCCCCTGGTTTCTCCTCTGCCTTAGTTCTTCCTCGTGTGTCCTTGTTAGTGTCATCCAGGTCACCTGTGCCTTGTTTCCCCAGTGTATTTAAGTTGTGTATTTTTCCCTTGGATTTTGAGTCTTCTCCCTGTGTTTCCTGCCTGGTGTTTCTAAAGCCTCCCTAGCTACCCCAAGTAATGTATCTTGAGTTCCTTTCTTTGGTTGTAATTGTTCTCTGGTTTTGTTTTCTCCCTTAGTGGAGTTTTTATTTTCTCATGTGGGTTTTCCTTTGTTTTTGCTGTAGTTAAGACCTCAGTCCGAGAAGCACTTTTGTTGTATTTTTCTTGCAAAGATTTTTTTTAATAAATCTACATTTCCTTGGATACTGCCTTAAGTGTTTCGTTTGGGTCCAGCATTACCACTCCCGTGGCTCAGTAGTAGATCTCTCAACCACCACACAAGAGACTGGATTTCTAGCCCGGCTCGTGACACTGGGTTAATCTTTTTCACGTTTCGCGCTCTGCTGGACAAACTAAGTAATTACACCATTTCAAGCATTTTATCTGCATTATATGATCTGTAAAAAAAAAAATTTTCATATCGGCGGCATATTCGCCGATATATATCGGCAAAACGATATATCGGTCGGGCTCTATCTCATATACAGCACACGATCAGTTCTCAGTGCTCAAATACACACACAGCAGTCCAAATGTCTATTGTGTAGAGCAGGGATGCCCAAACTCGGTCCTGGAGGGCCGGTGTCCTGCAGAGTTTAGCTTCAACTTGTCTCAACACACCTGCTGGCAAGTTTCTAGTGTGCCTATAAGAGCTTGATTAGCTGGTTCAGGTGTGTTTGATTGGGGTTGGAGCTAAACTCTGCAGGACACCGGCCCTCCAGGACTGAGTTTGGGCACCCCTGGTGTATCTCACGTAAATACAATCGGTTATGGAATAACTGAACGTAAACAGGTGGGTGAAAACTGAACGTGTGTCAATATTACATGCATGCCTTCCTTCTTAAAGGGACAACATTCCCAATTAAGTACCTATCCGTGTCATTAATGTTAACCAACTAAAGATGTTAAATAAATGTTAAGTAAACTATACTCTATCTGAAAAATGAGTTTAATTGGTATCTCTTTCGTATTTGTCTTGTCTTATTCTGCTTCTTTTTTAAAAAATTATAAATTATATATATTATAATTGAACAACTATAATTTTTATAAGTTGCTCCCTTTTCACTACTGTTAAAGGGATAGTTCACCCAAAAATTAAAATGGTCATTTATTCAAGTTTTTCGAAATTCAATCCTTGATTCAAATTTCTCATAAGCTTAATTGATTTGGTCTAAAGAGAGAAGAATTAATGACTATTTTTGTTTGAAGACTACATATAAAATAAATGTTGGTAACTGCAGTGTGACTAAAAGTTGACAAAAATGCAATGACTTTTCGTCGACTAAAACTATGAAAAACTAAAATGTGGCTAAGACTATTAAGCATTTTCGTCTCAAGATTAAGACTAAATAAAAAATGCCTGTCAAAATTAACACTGCATCACATCATTGGTAGCTTTCTCCTTACTGTCTAAAAGAAACAATCTTGCATCATATGAATTTAATTGTGCTCTGGGATGTTCAAGAACAGTTTATGTTTTTGGTTTACATGGCACAGACAAGAAAGGACGCCTATCAGTTTTAGACAAAACACAAGGAAATGGCAACATTCCTTACTGACTCATATGAGCTCATGCAACTTTACTTTGAGAGCATTTTTGCTGATGGGTTTTGTGGATTAGAATATGAAATGCAAGGTCATCATACAATAATACTTCACTTTGTCTTCAAAATGCATCTTGTTCAAATTATGATGAATACCAAAAAGTACTACTGTGTAACATATATATACACTGCCTGGCCAAAAAAAGTCACAATTTGGATTTAAATAAGCAAATACTACAGAGTTTAGGATTGAATCATTATTGTAGTGATTAACAAGTTTCTGGCATGTTATATGTTTTGCAACAAAGCTTTTTACTTCTCAAGCAACCATGTTGGGAGAGTGTACCCATGTACCCATATTCCAGGATGACAATGCCAAGATTCACCAGGCTTAATTTGTGAAATAGTGGATCAGTGAGCACAAGGAATAATTTTCTTGTATGAATTAGCCACCACAGATTCCTGAGCTTATCTCTATTGCCTTATAAGTCTTTAGGATATGCTGCAGAAAACTTTACACAGTAGTTTGACTCCCCCACTGTCAACACAAGATCACAGCCAAAAATGTATGCAACTCTTGATGGAAATAAATGCTGTGATGTTGCATGACGTTGTCTAAAAAATGCCCCAATTAATGTGCAATTCAATCAAAGCTTAAGGCAGTTCAATGAAATATTGGAGTGTGCATAGTTTTTGGACAGACAGTGTATATGTATGTAGCTATATTCTTGGTATTCCTATTACAGTGTAAGGTCAAAAATTATCAAAGACTTCTGCTTTCCTGTCCCAAACCTATCTTCAGTAACAAAAGGGCCATTTGGCATTCCTGAAGTGCTGATATCGATCAAGGCCTGTAGGCCAACATGTGTATACACCGGGGGTCTGCTAATTGTCACACCTTTTGCCCAGTGGGTGAAGTTGTAATCTGCTGATTGGTCAGTTTGAATGTCTCACATTTGGTTTTTAGTCACATGGTCAAGGAAGGGATAAAAGAGGACTGTAACTGTTGCTCTGTCTCTTTTCTTGGCTGGCTCTCTTTTTGGGTCTCTGCCCTCTCTCCCTTTTTTTCTTCCTCTCTTTATCTCTTTCTCTCAGGTAATATTTTACATGTTGGGTACAATTAACTATGCTTTACCATCCTTCATCTATTTTGTAACCAATTCAAGTGTAACCATAACAAAATATTGTTATTAAACCATTTCAATTATTAATTATGTGCTAACTAGTCTTGATTCAAGGTTAATCTTAAAGTGCTACCTATTGCAATACAATAGTCACACAATAGCAAAGCTCTCCCACATATGTAGCTATTCTAACTGCGCTTATTTCTGTTGTTGGTATAAGTGGCAGTGGGTGGTAATAAACTAGAAATGTACAGTTTTATACCATCGTGCTGATAACGTTTCTTTAGTCATTCGGCAATCCTACAGCCTGAACCACCGTAGGGAAACCATCCTTACAACAGTAATGTTTTTATAAATTCTAGCTTGCTCATCTTCAATAGCACAGAGTAAAAGAGAATTATGATCTCTACTATGCTCCATTTTCTACAGCCTCACTGTGCTTGCAATTTTTTTTAAGACACCCAGATGATTAACCATTAGGAGCACACTACTCCTCCAGTGTAGTTTCTTTACTGTACTACTCCTCTCTTTTCCCTTTACTCTCTCAGTTTACAAACTATGCTTTACCATCCTTCATCTATTTTGTAACCAATTCAAGTGTAACCATAACAAAATATTGTTATTAAACCATTTCAATTATTAATTATGTGCTAACTAGTCTTGATTCAAGGTTAATCTTAAAGTGCTACCTATTGCAATACAATAGTCACACAATAGCAAAGCTCTCCCACATATGTAGCTATTCTAACTGCGCTTATTTCTGTTGTTGGTATAAGTGGCAGTGGGTGGTAATAAACTAGAAATGTACAGTTTTATACCATCGTGCTGATAACGTTTCTTTAGTCATTCGGCAATCCTACAGCCTGAACCACCGTAGGGAAACCATCCTTACAACAGTAATGTTTTTATAAATTCTAGCTTGCTCATCTTCAATAGCACAGAGTAAAAGAGAATTATGATCTCTACTATGCTCCATTTTCTACAGCCTCACTGTGCTTGCAATTTTTTTTAAGACACCCAGATGATTAACCATTAGGAGCACACTACTCCTCCAGTGTAGTTTCTTTACTGTACTACTCCTCTCTTTTCCCTTTACTCTCTCAGTTTACACAAAAACATTTCCGTTTGTACTGGACGTGAGTTGAGGGGAAATGTTAAGCCTAACGAATGTGATGCTTCCCAAACAAACATTAGGCATGATTCATTTTAATCATGGAAATTCTCATTTCCAGCCTCAGTGCATATGAACATCATGGAATTTTTTTTTTATGATTTTCAAGCAGTCTTTTTCAAAAACACATTCAGTACTCATGTTAAACAGTATATTCTAAAAGTTCCATCACACCCAGTTTCACTACATTTCCAACCATAAATACTGTATGCATTATGAGGCATCAGTCATTGCGGCGTTGTAGTCATGGTTACGGTTAAGGGACACCCAGTGAGATTTCAATCGAGTTCATTGTTCAGATAGATTGGTGAGTCAAAGAAGCAACAAGGGAGGGTTAAGCTGCGGCTGCTGCTGGCAGCTGGAACGGAGGATTTGATACATGGTGAGCAAAGGCCAAGGACTTTAACATTGGGTCTTTACTAACTGATTGTTAGTCAGTTAAGTAAAAAAAAAAATTATATTCTTTTCTATTTGAACTTAAGTCAGTCTCGGGGGGGGGGGGGGGGGGTGGAATCGGTTTACCTAATCGCTTTTTTTTACTTATTTTTTTTTACAATTTTAAATCTTTTTTTTACATTTCAAAATCTATATTAATTCATATAAATTGGCAATCGGACATTTTTTTATTTACTTTTATTTAATTTCAGCCAATTTCTTTTCAAGACTTGCACAAACTGCATTGTAATAATTTTCCAAATAGTGAAATATTACGAAGTCTGTAAATGGGACGTTAACAGAGAGACGCTGTGAACGGAGCACAGACACACCAGCAGAAAAAAAAACCTGTGGCCGGCAGAACCATAAGGGCAGAACAGCTCTGTTCGTGATGAATATTGAAAGAAAAGAATTGTGGGTTTATATGAATGTATCTCTGAGGGGGACTGTCTTTACAAAGGTTTAAATGTTGTTTTCCTTTTCATCTTTCTTTTCAAATCTGATTTTTGCTCACTTCTGAAACAGATCAGAATTTGTTGGACACGTCTAAACCATAGATTGAATAAAAACAGGTCTAAACACAAAAATCCACACAAGATCCGATTTTTTCCAGCACCCAATCTGAGCCACTTCAGTGTTTACACTGCACAGATTCGATTTTTTTACCATATCCGATTTTTTGGCCCGCCAACATTCACCACCCGCCAGTGATCGCTTTACTATGCACACAG